GCGCTTAAGTTAGCAAGTGAAGTTGTTATGGAGTTAGTTTTGTTGTTATTGCAAGGGAAACTGAGATATATTTCCAGTTGTGTGGGGGGGAATTTCACTTGGATTACAAACGCGAACCCACAAAAACTTTATTGCCTAATCGTAATACCAGCTTCGCCCGAGGATTTATTTGTCCATTCGGATTTCTGTTGTAATTCAGATTCGCGCTGTACAGTGCCTTAAATAGTAACGATACGTTTTTGAACGTATATATTAATATTTTCGTAAATACAAACATCATTAATAAATAAGTAAGTGAACACAAATATTTATGGAAATTCTTCGTGGGTGAAAATGTTTCAGTGTTTTAGTCTCTGTAACACTGAAGATGAAGGGTCCTAATGCATAGTACTTATCTATTAAAAACCTTTTTTTACAATAAAGGCTCGAGGAAGTAGTAATTAAAAGTTTAATAAGTTCTTAATTATTCGCAAAATGTTTTGTATGAGACCTTTAAATTTGTTATGACTAGAATAATTGTTTTGAAGAGTCAGTTTTACCGCTTCTGTGAAAATAATTACATCCTAACTTTACCATGTAGCGAAACGAATTTGTAAATTGAGAATATTACGTTGTTAATGGTTTGCGTAACTTTGTTTTTATTTGTTGTGTTCAGAGAGATTTTCAAAAACTTTTGTAATTCACTGCGGACTGGAAAGGGACACTGTCGCGTCATATTACTGCATTTCCCTCATGAAACAGCGCAGGAAAAGTAATAAAAGTCTGCTGAAGTTTCAGGTCATTAAGTACACGAGGAAGTTGTTATTAGGTCAGCCACAGACTCCAGCAGCCCGGGGTTACTCTGGATTTGTATACGAGCAGCGTTTTACATGGCTTTTATCCTACTCGTTTTGTATTCACCCCCCGTCACCGTGTCCTGATTTAATTTTCTTTGATAAAAGCTCTTCTAGAAACAATATATAAATAATTAAGTTTAAGAACGCTTTGTATCCCGCCGCAAAACTAACGTTGTATTCTCCGCAGGGTTAACTGAGTTTTAGACGCATCCATTTCCAAACCATGGTGATGAAACAACGGTTTATATTTACTGCAAATCTATTGAAGCTGTAAATACATTGGTTTTCATTTGGTTACATTTTTGAGAATCCAATATACTGAAAAACCTTTAAGAATAAAAACATTCTCTGTTGACAAAAGTCGGAAAATGTTACTTTATATCGTCTTCCTTTGTCTTTATTTCTATTTTCTCTTCATCCCTTTTATTCGTTATTTGTTAATTTTGTTTTTACTTCTCTTCCTGTTTCCCACTCTTATTCTCTTAGTGCTTTCCTTTAGTTGTTTGTTTTGACTGCACTCTTAACACTGATGTCGGAGAAGTTGCTGCCCCTTTCGGGCGTTCCGTTGACAGAGGAGACTCCCGGTGTAGTGGTTTTGAACTAAGCGACCCTTGACAAAGTTGGGCCATAATGAATTGCATTCTGAACTTTTTTCATTATTATTTTGTTTACAACCTCCTCCGATCCGTTTTGTCAATTTATTAAAGATTTTTGTTCTCTTATTTGTAAGTTTAAATACATTATTTTTTTGAGTTGTTTTATTTCTTAATATATTTATATTCTTGCGTTTTCTTCATATGAATGCCGGATGTAATAAAATATATTAACTTGTAAGCTGTTATTATATTTTATTTTTATAGACTTTTATTGAAAAGATACTTAAATATTCAGTAAGCAATTGGTTTCACTACAAAATGTTTTGAGGTTCTATTTTAATTGCTGCTCGTCAATTACCTTTTTGTATTAAATTTTTATAGTAATATAATTTTTAATAAATTTGTTGTTCTTTGTATTAATATTAATTTTGTTCTCCTACTGTCCTATGTCTGTAATTCAACATCTGGCTGTTGGTGCAGCAAACTAATAATTACATAATTTAATTATTATCATCATAACATTGTTATGAAAATGGAGTATGCATTTTTGTATTTTCTGATAACTTTCCAATTTCATTTTCATGTCCTGTGTATTTCAAGTTATTTATGGATTTATTATTGAATTTAATTATCCCTGTTGGCAGATTTAGAGGCTTTCGTGTGTAAAGAAGTTTTATTTATTACTTATAAGTTTCTGATTAAATTTTCGTAATTACACAAACATCGCATCAAAGGAAATTCATTTCCAGCCCTACACACGATCTTGCGTAACCATAGACCCAAGCATAACCGTAGAAAATTCCTATGGCTACACTGTGGTCTTCATAGAATTGTAACTGGTTTGCGCACACATTTATCAAAACACTGGCAATTAAGCTCATTGGTAGGCTTGGGCTGTATTAAATACGAAATTCTGAACTGCTATTCCTGAGCGTATGACGTTTTATGATAGAATTTCTGCACATGGATGAAATTTTTCCTTCGTCACCCGGCACGCACGCACGTACACGCACACACACACAGACTCAAAGTCAGTGTTTAAATTCGATTAGCACAGATTTGTCTCCTACTGTAGTTCATGCATATGTATTGTTGTCAATTTAAATATGGTAATGAGGTCGCGCTGGGGTGCTGGATTCCTCTCAAACGCAGAGCACATTTAAAATTATTTGCAATTACGTGGGAGTTGCACTACAAGAATCTACAAGAGAGGAAGTTTGATGCCAACGTATTCCAGAATTTAGTAGTGTCTGGTAAATTGCATCTCCAGGCTCTGGAATTACCACAGAGCAGAGTGAGGTTCTGAAGGCGGCGAGTATGAAAATGGCTGTCCTCTGGGTTGTAGACTTGCAACATCGAGAAGATGGCTTGGGGATAACATTAAGATGGATCTTAATGGAGATAGGTTTTAAAAATTAAACATAGATGGTACTGGCTTATAATTATGCAGTTGTGGGGTTTGTTGTCAGCGGTGTGGCACATTCGGTTTATGTTACGGAAAAATGAGTCATTTTGTTACGTAGTAAACATCCCATAACATTCTGCAGGTTTTTATATTTTATTTTCCTGGATTCTATAAGTTTTTCCACTGTGACAGTAATATTTGTCAGTCTAATCCTTTACCCTGAACACACAAGATAGCTTATTCATGTATCTAGTTGAATGTCGCGCTGACTGTGTCAGAAGTGCGCATTAAGCATTTATTTTGTACTCCCTCTGCGAAGAATGCTTAATGCTTTAAGACTAGAAACACTTCGGTAAGCAGACATCTCATGTACCCCAAATAACTGCAAATGAAAATTGTGAACAAGATCGTCCCGAGAGGGATTCAATCTACTGACCTTCAGTCGGCCATTCAGTAAAACATGTATCGATTTTGACACTTTCCTCAGTTCGTGCGGGACTCTCAAAACAAATTTCGCTGCTGTCTTGGTTTATTTGTTCCCTGACTTGAAGTGTCGGTGATGGAAGACAAATGGATCGTCGATCCCTCGGGAACTTGCTTCGTGATGAGCTTTCTGTTCCCGCCTCAGACGTGCTGGATCTTGTGGAGTAGACTGTTTCATTACCTCAGATCGACCGGTGGGGTGGGGGGCTAAAGGCTGAAATGTGCAGTCCGTGTCTCGCCTCCACAGTGTTCACACGTGCCTTCTCGCATACTAATACTGCACGTTCGAAAGCATTATCATAAGCGGGACTTAATGTCAAATCCTCAACAGACCAAAGATAAACTGGCCTTTGAAAACATCGTAACATATGGAGACAGGAAATGCATACGGAAAATTGGTGCGGATATCTTTTGGGAGACCAACAATGAAATTAGAGGGTTTAATTAAGGCGAATACGAACGTAGGTTATGAGGGTGGAAGGTGGATTAAACTCACTGTAACATTCAATGAAAGTTTCCTTATTAGCTGAACTGAACATTCATCTTCTGCTACCAACAAGTTATTTACATTTGTAGGATAGTCGTGTTTACGCAGTTGGTGAGAATCCATTTTATATCTTGTAAACTAATAAAAGTATTTCGTTGACAAGTGCTTGAAATGTACATTACTACAAGTAGAATACAAACTTTGAGATCTAAGAAGAAAAAACACCAGAAATAGATGAATACCATTTTATTATTATTATTTAGCACAACAAAAATATTTTGAAATATACATCAATAACAGCAAAACAACCCGTAAGACGTCAAGGTTTGGGTACAGGGTTCAGACCCTCGAGACACTTAATCACAGCTCACTACGTTCATGGAAGAGAGAAATTTCGGAAGCAGAGGAAAATTGTAATCACTTGCAAACCGTCTCAAGACCAAAGTTCAGTTTGTCTTTTTTTATAACGTGTAAATCCTCCACTGTTGCTCCACATTCCTCTAATTATACAAATATATTTGTTGTCTTAAAAATCCGTGAATGAATATTTACTCCTCTAACTAATAATATATCTTAAAACTGGACTTTCATAGAAATTACACTGATGACCACAGGACACAAAAGATTGTAAGCGTCACAAACGTATGGGGGGGGATTGGATTAAGGAGACATAAATTTTATTATTATTAAGTAAAACTATTTTTAACCGAGTTAAGAGAGTGACAAGCTGTTGTTGATCAGAATCCTGTAAATTATTTAAAATATTGTGGTAGCCGTAATTCTAGATATGACAGTAAAAGTTGGTTAACACCAAACATTCGATGGGAATCTGACCCGAAAACCGAAGTTATACGTTAATCCTAACAACTTTTTTTTATTTCGTAATCATACTGAACGTCATTTTTGCCTTCATGGTTGTCAAATTCAGGTCGCAGTGACAACAAACGAAATTAAATAAAATGGAACTGAAAAAAATCTCAGAACAATAGAGAACATTTAAAATGAAAACTGTGCATATTTTTACATTTCTTTGAAAATCTCAGAACAATAGAGAACATTTATAATGAAAACTGTGCATATTTTTACATAATTAAATGATATCTTACGTCTGTGAAAATTCGCCGGGTAGGAATAAAAATTGTTTGTGTATTTAACAACATTTATGAAAAGGAAAAGTTTCTTTATAGATTTGAATAATTTGTTTCAAAATGTTTAAGCTTACGTAATTTTACATGACAAAGTGTAAACACTTGGGTGTTTTATCTGACAGAGATAACGAATGGTACACAATAACATGGTCGTTCTTGAACTTTACAAAATTGTAAACCTTTAATACATATAATATATTTAATACAGGCCTACACAGCACTGTAAAGGGTACACAATGTTCGAAACATGAATAAGCAGACCTACGAGTGGAATGTAAGACGGTTTGTAACCCTTAGAATATTGTTTGAGTAATAATTACTACATTATTTGTAATCAAGGTTGGAAGAAAATGAGAACACTTTAAAATATTTGTAGGGTAGCAAGAAACCCGGGACAATTACGATCTCGGGTGTCCAATCCAGAGCCGATCACACAATATCGTCTTTTTCGTCACAGCTAAAGGACTTTAGCGAAGACAAAAACTTGTAACGTATCTCTTACTTTGAATAGGTCTGTAATTATTTTTATATTTCAAAATGTTGTATGCAAATGCTGTTTCGGGCCTTTGTCATTTTAGGAAAAGTTACTTACCCATAAAAGTGATTCAGTGCCACGCAAAATTACACTTAAATACGTTACTCTTATGGGCCTGTGATTAATACCACCAGTTCATAAAATATACTTTTATATTTACGGCGACAATTATTTCATTTTATTTTGAGGGAATTATAATAATATTACCTTTTTTTGGGCCAAATTACTCTTAAGTAATTGATCCTCAGCATACTCAAAATGGTATGTAGGCCTACTTTATCTACGAAAATCTTATGGAATTTTAAAAGTGGGAAGTAAAATTCCTAATGACTACTGTAGGAAAACGTTTTGAAATTACTATTGACTTTGTAGAAACAAAATTTGGAGAAATTAGAAGCTACAAATGAGAACACCAGCCCTTCTGCCCTGAATAACTTCTGTATTCATTGATGCTACTTAAACATGCATTTTCGTTGTTAGTGTAATCCAAGGATTTGAGTGTGGCATTTCATCATTGAAAGTGATATTTAATCACGCAATTTCTAAGTAGAACTAAGTAAATAAGGTACATTGAGATCTGATTATATATCTACTGAAGATCTAATTGATTTTAATGTTTAGTTCTCTGGTACGTTTACCACATCGTGAAAATATTTCGTACACAGTGTGTGATACCGGTTATGGGTCTCTGTGTCTCTGATGTAAGAATTAGACCCGCCAGGCTTTAGTTGTGCTCAGTTAATTTCAGTCCAATTTACCTCGACAGAAGAGAAATTACTGCACTAAATGTCATGGTTAGATCTCGTTTGTATGTCTGCTTGCTGCGTGCTACGTCGTCTTGGAAACTCCAAGCCACTGTCGGCTCTGACATCTTACTCATTTGTGTATGTCTGCAGTGAAGTGAGAGACTGAATTTTCAGGGCAGAAGCGAGGTGCAGTTTAACAAACGTTGCATGCGGTTTTCGGTAGGAATTTTATTATAAGTTACGTATATTAGAATTTTGCTATTAAAATATGTAAAACTGTAGAATAAATATGGCCAAATATTGTATCAGTTTATATGAAAATGTCAGTAGCAGAAATTAAAGTGGCGGATCCTAAAGTGAATTATTCAGCCCGCTGCAAAATAATTGTTTAAAATTCAATTACGCAACGAGTTAAAGATTTTAAGTAATTGTGGTGTGATAATATGTCTATTTATCTCGCAAACAGAAGTCTGTGTGCATGTCATATTAATGAACTATTGTGAGGTATTTTGTATAAATAATCCTCATTTTCTGACAGACGTCGGTCTCCATAAAGAGTTGGGGGGTGAGAGGCTGTTAGCTTGTCAAGAAGGACTCTTACTTCATACAGTTAAATAATTATATTATAATAATTATTCCTGCTTGCAGGTGGTCTTAGATGAATTAACGGTCATGTGTATTATTTTTACGTGAATCAGTGAACAATCAACGATGAACTATTGATACATTTAACTTTGATCTGCGAGCAGATGTTGTTTGCCCATGGTAACTTGTATCGATCAGTATAGAAGTATACAGAAAAATGATAAATCCATATTTTAGTATCCAATATGGCAGTGATGATAATCTATCGCATTTTACCTTACAATCTATAGTCATGTGAATACATTTTAAATTTGCCGGGCATAAATTTTAAGAAACCGAAATCGTTACGGCCTAATCAGTTACAAAAAAATTATTTGTTGATCTGTTTTGTCAAATTTCATATATTTAGCGACATCTTAATAATAGACACATGAATTAAAGTTTAACAATTTTAAGAAGTTAAACGAAATGTTTGGAGTTTAATAGAAACTTCGTTTAGGATTTGGCCTTCTCGGTTTTGTCGCCGTGTAGTTTTGTGTGTCGTTTCCTAAGTTTCGTAGGAACATGTTGCCTTCATTTTCAGTGTGGAAGTCAATAATTTATGGCGTCACAGCCCAGAACAAAAAGATCTACATTTTAACCTCCGTGAAAGTCTCAGAACTCATCTCGTCTCACAAATTTGCGTGAAATGACATTCGTTTGTGTACAGGTACACTTCATTTAAATTTACAAGCGTACGCAATTAAATATTTGTGTTCATTAAATTTTCACGTGACTTCAGAACATTTTATATTCTTCCTTCTTATTCCGCCACGTAAGTTAAACTTGGTAACATTTTGTATCGGTGCGACAGCAGCTAGTTGACGAATCAACAGATCAATTTAATACGACTATAACAACAGTTCACCGAGATTTGTACTCGATTTTACGCTGCGTTTACTGATAAAGTTGAACGCTGCTGCCACTTCCTTGCGTCAGCAGCAGCTGGTGAAAACAGATGAGTTGATATCAAAGTTTTTGTGGAGCAATGCTCGACTCATATCGGGAAAGCCTAGAAGCGCTTGGCGGTGAGTATCGCAGTTCCAGCCGGAAGTCGGGAAGTGACAGTTGCGTTCAACTTTATCAGTGAACGGACTATATTAAGCAGTTAAATGATATGAGACGGCCGTTTCAGTGACTGATTGGGCAGCATGTGACATCGATAGAACACCGGTTCAGTAGATATTAGACTAGTGACGTCAGCACCTACTCGAGCCTGTGCGTGTCCTCATCAGGAGACGAATCGTCTCCTTCGGTTCTGTCTTCGTGCTCCATGTCCACGAGGCGAAAGGTCTCCAGGAACTCGTTCAGGTCGACAAGTCCGTCCTTGTTTATGTCCATGCTCCGGCAAATGTCTACCAGCTGCTCCGGCGGGATTTGTGGCAGGTGTTCTCCGAGAAGAGAGCACGCGTCTGAGAACTCTTCCATTGAGATGTAGCCTGGGGGAAAGATGCATCGTCAGTCAGAAACTTTACTATCAGCATCCTCCACACGTCAAACTTTACAGGCGCGTACCACTGGGTTAAGGGAACCGCGAGTTGAGTAGATTATATACTCTTTTGCTTTCTTTTGAAGATGGCTGTTTTCTGGGTGTTACGCCGTGTAATCTGATAGTCCTGATGATGGAGGCAGAAAAGACTTTCGAAACGTCTGTATTTTTTTCGGACTGCAAAGCGCAATAGACCATAAGCAGTCGTCTGGAGTTTCGTAGATGATTAATGTAAATCGTTTCGCGTTGCAGTGAAACTTGTTCATTTCTGATAAGAGAACAGAATTAGAATATGAAATGAAAAGAAGGGACACGTTGAGTGTTAGTATAGGCCGATTGTAGACAAAGGGAAATGAAGAGAGAAGACGCTGACATGAAAACAAAAGAGAGAACGCGTTGTTTCAGGCGATGACTGGAAGGGAAACCGGAACGTCAGCCGGTCCATGAGCGTGAAGAGAACGACACAAAACGACGACGAGGCAAAGGGTCCAGTGGCGTGCAGGCTGCATGACCTGTTGCGAAATACCACACACTCGAATGTCTGTACATCTTTCTCATTTTGGTATAGGACGAATCAAAAGCCGCTCAGAACCGAAAAATTTAACGAGCCGGCTATTTCATAACTTTCGACAGACAACCTCACTTTGTGTTTAATACGGGAGGATGGAATTCAAATATTTAGAATTAATTACTGATCTTCACGTTAACGCGCGAGAATCAAAACTGTGGACAGCTCCAGTTAATTTGTGACGCTGTACACAACCAACGACGCTCACCATCGCCGTCGATTTATCGGCCGTCTACCACATTTTACGGTTCGGCAAATGACACGAAATTTTTCAACTCTGTTTATTACCTGGATACAAGTAAAGTAGAAAACAGGTCATCTTATCGTGGTCCTTTTGGATGCAGTAGGAAGCCAGTTTGGCTTAACCTCCTCACCGCATAAAAGAAGCCTGCCTTGGCTATAAAAAGGCGGGCGCAGTATTCACCTGGGAAGAGGGTCCATGATATTTTTTCTGCCACCAAAAACAGATCCAGTTGCAGTTTATAAGGCATGACCGTTTACCGTTTCCAGCTGTGCGTTTCGTACGTGAAAGACCTAACCCAGCAAGGTATGAAATTTCTCCTTTTACTTTCTGGAAAGAGGGTAAATCATAGCTCCGCATTTTTTTCAAGTTAATTACTGGATATGTTAAAAAAGTGTTGTAATAGACTACATATTCGTATTAATTTTTAAACAAAAAATTGTATATCAGTCAGTAACATTTATATATAATAGGCGTATGAATAAAAATCAATAAGACTTTTGTAGACACCCTGTAGCGGCGCAGACGGAGACAAAAGACATCTCACGAACTCGACAGACGTTTGGATAACAGCGGAGAAATTGTAAACAGGACCAAAAGTTGGGGACAAACAGCATCATGTGTCTTCCCTATCTGGAAAGTGACTAAATGTTCACGCGATTAGTTCATTACACTCGACGGGCTATAACGATGGACAATCTCAAGTGTGCATTGCCACACCCTTTCTCTTTATGATCAATTTAAATATTATTATATCTGCGACTAAATCTCTTCAGGGTTTGTGACTAAATCAAGTAAAAGTTAGTCATCTATCAACGAGTCTTCCATGTTCCTTTATTTGTTGGTTGAGGTATTCAGAACGACGTTTCAACAGTAGGCTGTTTTAAGACATTCGCGTGATTGTGTCTAAGTTATTGATATTGAGAAAGTGGGTTTGTTGGATAAAGTTTTTATATTCTTAGTAGCAGCCGTTGAAATTTTACAGAATAATTCCTGTAAATATTAAATTCGTATGTAAAACATTAATTAATTAATTAATTGCAATTTTATTTTCAGAATATTTGGGCTCGACCTTAACCTTTGTCACTAATATCAAAATAAAACGTAATAAAATAGTTCTCGAGACCGGAGAGAAGCCAATTTAGAAACGTCAGCTTGTCAGAAGGAATGAACAATGCCCGACATAATTTCTGTGTGACAAAATCTCTGATTTTTTTTTTTACACTGCGAACAATTTGAAACGAATTAGAACAACACTGTCAGTCTCCTAGACACCTGTTGTGTTTGTCAGGAAGCTGACTGTGAAGCAAGATAACACAGTGATTCCCCACACACCTCAGTTCATCTGTGCACAACACAGCAGGGTGCCTGGTACTTGCAGCCAACAATTACGTCTGTTTTCTTCTGCGACAATGTACATATCAAATTTGCTTGTTTTGTATTTGTTACTCTACAACAAGTCACGTCATGTCATTAGGATCGTATTTATTTTATTTAGTGTTCTGTCTAACGACAGGTCCATATGAACAGGATCCTTCCATCCTTTTCTCGGACTGGGACCTGTTCATATACGTTCTTGGCAGATGATCCAGAAGTGGTTTGCCATTGCCTTCTTCTGTGTGTGAATAGAGTAATTGTTGGGATGCCACGGAGAAACCGCGGAAGCCCCCGGAGGAAAACTCCGTGTTGCCTAGATCACGGCCTTGCCCAACACAAGTTATAATCGACGTAAAATCCGGTTTCTTTAATTCTTAGAATTCAGGAAGAGTATTTATCCGTTGTTTATTCAACGATACTGTATTAACTGCAAATAGTGTTTAGCGTATAATGTGATGGTCACAATCAGAAAATCAAAATGAATGAATTGAGAACATAAATGGAAATATCTCCCTCACTTTTCCCCTTTGATTAAAATAAAAGATAGAAACATATTATTATTACTGTTATTATATTATGTAGGTCAATAGCTTTATGTAGGTGATCAAACCACCCAATCATTGCCCTATCAGTGAAGCTCGTAGTGCCGCATCTCGTCCCAGCACAAAGTGAAGACGTACTTTGTTGGAGGTGATGGTATATTAAATTCACCATGAAGGTGCTTGTTCTGATTACTGGGGTTGCCGGTGGCGTTGGGGGAAGGGAGTAGCAGGGGATTATTGAAACGGGTCTCGGTGGTTGTTGCTGTCAGATGAGGATGATTATCCTCCAAAATACGAGAGGGGAATATTCATCCTCGCAGTAAAATATTCTGAAACACGAATAGGGTGTTAGGAGTCGTGTTAGCAACCAAATATCATTAACATGCACGAAGTAACACTAACTTCAGTTTCAATATTGAATCGTGAAGCTTAACTAGTCTGTCTCACACGCATTTATCATTTTTGTCGTTATTTTTCTATATTTTCGCTGTTACCTTTATTCGTTTCTTTCTATTCTTATTATTTATTATATTTTCCCCTTCTTTGTGGTCTTCCCTTTCCTCAGCTCCATTGCTCTCTCGTTCTTACATGTTTCTCCTTTACATTATCTATTCTCTTTATCTTCTTCGTCATTATATTTCCTTTTTCATAGTCGTTCTCCTTCAGTTTTGTTGCCCTCCTGTTATTCTTTTTCCATCATCGTCTTTTACTCTTCGCAACAGCTTTATTTTATATATTTTCATTTTCTCTCGTACCCTTTGTAACTTTATGGTAAGATCCTTGGCTTACCCCCCAGTGTCATCAACAAGCTGATGTCAAAACACCAATACACTTCTAGTCCAAGCGTCCACATGAAAATCAATACATCAAGCTGTTGAACAACTCATAAAAATATATTAAGAAATCTGATCTCTCTCATGGGTATATTCCAGAAATAACTGCTCTGTAAATCTTAAAATCGATATGGGCTTCTATCCGTTAAATTTCGTAAATATTCTGGAGCAAAAATTTAATAAAAACAGTGAAAATCTGGGATTTGAGGTTTAAACGAAGGTTAGTACGAAGATGGCTGTCTTCTGGGTTGCAGCGCTACAACCCTGAAGCCGGAAATCAGCAATCGAATACATTAGACGAAAAACACTATAATTTTGCAAAAACAATTAAATATTTTAGCAAGACAATTTTAAATAGATCTTAATACGATGTGAGGTGGCCCAGAAATATGGTCCAGTGACAGGATCTCAAATCATTTCCCAGTCTCCAGCTTTTGGAAACGTTAACTTTTTTCTGACAGAAGTTTAAAAATAAAATACTCTTTTCCTCTCACCAAAACACTTCTTAACACGGAAGCCACCACTTTGGCAAGAATTTAAAGTAACTCATATTTTTTTTCGCTCTCGCGTTACTTTTGATTGGAGAAGGAATGGTAGGTAGAGTCAAAAGTTGGCATCACTGCTAGTAACTGAATTTCATATCAATTTACCAGAACACTGTAGCTCCAGTTCTACGAGTAATTCAATTTGAAGTTCAAGTGACAGCGACACCATTTTTATTCTTTTCCTTCTTCCTTACTCGCTTGTTTCATAAAGGGGATATTTCTCGACACTACATGGCCTCAAACGAATTTAAATTGTGTTTTCTGATCCCCCCCTTTTCGGTCGTCAGTTGAAGTTTTCTGCAAGTTTCCTCCAATACGAAACTTCTTTTCAGATAATAAGAACCCCAAAACAAATCTATCACTTGTTGTCCAATATAACTATTTTGTTTCGTTGTTTCTGAGATAGTTACCGTTAAATACAAAATGAACGTGTATACAAAGTTTACACAGTGTCTTGCTTTAGGCTAAAGGTACAAGCTAAAGTTGTGAGAAATCAAACTTTAGGATTAACAGGCCCTATCGTCGCAACGTCGACAAGGGTTAGTCATCTGTGACACTAAGCCTGAAGCAGCATCTCGTTAGTGACGATGTGAAGTCATCTGCGGTTGGCCCAACGAGAACATTTCTGTTTTAGACCGTCTATAAACAAACTGCATGCTACATTAGTGCGTACGCTATAATTAAAAAGTCGCTGTCTGGCTCGAAGTCAGAGTTATTAAAGTTTACGAAAGATTTTATCATTTCCGCCTGGATTATCACATTTAGTCCTCACAATTTGTAATGTACTATTCCGACACTGCACTGACGAATAAAATACGGACAGAGGTAGATATTAGCGTTGTTGTAGATCTCCACCTACCTCAGTGACTCAACTCTTCATTGAAACTGTTATTTTTTGAAACATTCTCTGCTTTTATGAAACCCTGAGGTTCATTATCTTGTGTACAAAACCGTGCAAATCGACCCACCCTGAAATAGTTTAACCCACACACAACTGCTTTAGGATATTTGTAATATTATCCTCCCCACTAAACCTGCTTCTCCTTTACAGCCAGGTTTATCGTCACGGATTGTCTGCGTATTTCTCGTTTGTTTCGTGAGGGCCGCAAGCCCAACCCATTTCATCCTTCCAGTATAAATGTCGCACTTACATTACTTCATTAACATTACGAATTGTGAAGTTCATCGTCATTTATAGATCCGAATTAAAATTTAATTTTAGACCCAGTTGTAACAGTAATAAGAGTAATAATGATCCTTTCCTCCTTTTCTCGGACTGGGACCTGTTCATATCCGTTCTTGGCAGATGATCCAGAAGTGGTTTGCCATTGCCTTCTTCTGTGTGTGAATGGAGTAATTGTTGGGATGCCACGGAGAAACCGGGGAAGCCCCCGGAGGAAAACTCCGTGTTGCTTAGACCACGGCCTTGCCCAACACAAGTTATAAATTCGGGTACCGCCGGGAATCGAACCCGAGACCCCAGGATTACAAGGCCAGCGTTCCAACCGCTAGACCACCGTGGCGGTGCAATAATGATAATAGCAGTTAATTAATAATATAATTCTTGCCTTGGTTTCTATACACATAAAGAGGTGTACTGATAGTTTGTTGTTAAATAACCATAAATAAATAACAAATAAACCTGAAATGAAAAAGATTGTTTCGAAAGTATAGCAACTTATATTTTGAGTGACGAACGAAAATCATTGTCCTTCTAAAGAAGTATCTGAAGCGAAATATTGATATTATTAAAACACTCGTAACATACCTGAATTATCTTTGTCAATGATTCGGAATATGGCCTCGAGACTGGATTTGTTCCTGTACAAGGTTTCAACCACAGTCGTACCAGACTGTAAAAAAGAATAGTAATTCAGTGAAACGCATGAAGATGGCACTGTAACGATTGTTGACTGTACGTATTGTTTGTCAGACATTGTAAAGATGGCTACATGATAACCACACAAAATTTATATATTGTTTTCGTGTAATGTAGAATTTGATATAAAAGTAGGCGAGTCTAAAACATACCCACAAAATGTCGTGTTGGTTCTTAGGTTCTTTATTCGGTTCTTTATTATTAATATGTTGCATCAGCAGTCAGAAGAGTAATTATAGATGTTAACAATTATAATCTAGGCGACTTTACGAATTTCGGAGCATGGAGTACCGTATGTCAAATTTAACGTAGTCTTAATTTGTACTACTGGAAATTATTACAGTTTTGGATCATTGAGTTGTAGGTACATAATTACTAATTCATAATTAATATTTACTAGCCCCACAATATAGAAAGAATTTTTAAAAAATAGTTGGCATTTGCTTTGAAAGTTTTTTGTTAGAGAAGAAGATTTTAACACACAAACTTTCCATCCACTGTTGTCTTGTAATTCGTATATTTTTCACCTTCCCATGCCATATGTACAGAATATATACATTTTTAAACTAAATAGATTTGGCAAAAATCAGATAAATATTTTAAAATTGTGATGCCATACCGATCTTCTGCCATTCGTGTGCTCTTGGAAGGTGCTGTGGTACTCGACTTTTCCAGTAGACGGGTCCAGAGTCACCAGTTTCTCACGTAGCATTCGCCAGGGAATCCCCAGTCTGGTCTGATCCTCCATGGCTGCGCACCACTCTGATAGGCTAATCAGTCCTGCGCACAGTACAAATACGAACCCACGATTATAATCTTTAAAACAAAACGCTTTTCACCCCAATGAGCTGAATGGAAAATGTGAGTTCAGTTGCAAATTTCCCTTTAAATTTCCTTGGCGTACCAAATTTATAATGTCTAGAACTCTGCAAAACTCTTCAAGATGCTGTCTTCTGGGTTGTAACGTCG